AAATTGGTTTTTAGTTGTTGGTGGACTTTTATTTTATTTATTTATATGTGGTGCTGAGAATTGAACCCAGGGCCTCACACATGCTAGGCAAGCGCTCTACCACTGAGCCACAGCCCAGCCCCATCTGTCTCTTAAAAACAGTTTATTCAGAGGCGAGAATCAGGCCAGTGTTCTAGTGAGACTCTCTGAGGCCCAGACCAAAACTGGGGGTTGGGGGAGGGGTCAGGAGGCTCAGGACCTTGGGCCAGTGGAGATTAGGCTCATGCACCTGCACTAAAGCAGGCATGGGCTTGTCTGTGGCAAGGCACAGGACTGGGGCAGGCAACTTGCAGCAGACCGCCTGTGGTGAGCTCAGAGGCCGTGGCTTGGTTTTGTTAAAAGGAGAAATGTGGCTTGCAGAGACTTTCGTGTTTCCAAATCTGTGTGCTGACTTGAGTGTCCCCCTGTGATCCATTAGTATTCTCTCAAAACAGCCCTTTGACAGTGACTTTAGTTTTCTTTCTCTCCTGGTGAGGGCTTTTGCCTCAGTGCTGTCAAGGTGCCATAATGCAGTAAAGGTCACTTCGTAGCTGGTCTGCTCTTCTCATTTCTGCTCTGGTTGCTCACGGGCCTTCAGATCTGTAACCTGGAGAGTTCTTCTCTGCCTGTAAGGGCAGCTGGGCTCATCCTTTTTTTTTTAATTTATTTTTTAGTTTTCGGTGGACACAACATCTTTATGCTATTTTTATATGGTGCTGAGGATCGAACCCAGCGCCCTGTGCATGCCAGGCGAGCGCGCTACCCTTGAGCCACATGCCCAGCCCTGGGCTCATCCTTAACAGTGCCTTCCCTGGGACCCTTCGTGGCTTCCCCTGAAGTGTGTCTTGGTGGACAGAGGCCTCTTCTGTTTCCCAGTTTCCTGGTGTTGAGCTCAGCGTCTAGTTGCATGTAGCATTTAGGAGAATTTGGAGACTTACAGACACTGGCCTGTGGAGTCTGACTTCCTTCGGTGACTTCAGGGGCTTGGGGTGGCTCCACCAGAGCTAGGAGCTGCTTTCTGGCCCTGATCCCTACCTGTTGGTGAATTCTACCTACTGTCTGCATGCACCTGAGAAAATGTTCTGGTAGTGCCAGGCCCGCTTGTTAGGACGAATGGTCAAGTGTGAGTTTCTTTAAGCAAAAGACTTCTGGATGTGTCAGCCTACATCTTTGGGTCACTATCAAAATCAGAGTTTAAAATTAAAATTTCCTAAACACCTAGTGATAGCCAAGTGCACCCAGAGGCAGACATCTCCCTTTCTGCTTTAGGGTTTCATGCTGGGAGGAAATTCTTGTACTCAGATTGGCTAAGGACCTGAGAGGAACAGAAGTACTAAAAAAAAAAAAAAAAAAAAAAAAAGATGTCCCAGGGGCTGGGGTTGTGGCTCAGTGGTACAGAGTGGTAGAGTGCTTCCCGGCATGAGTGGGGCATTCCATCCATTCTCAGGGTCCCTTGGAATCAGAACCCAGGTGAGGTTTCCCGCACACTGTGAGTACCAGCATGAAGCTGGGCTGGCTGGACACAGAGACGTTTGCTCACTGGGGCTCTCGAGTCCAGCCCCAGGCTGGCAGCAAAGCCTGACAACTGGGAAGGAGCCTCCCAAAGGTTCAGTCACCCATGACCTCTTCAGCACCAGAGCCACAGCTTCTGGTCCATTCAGGCCCAGGAACTATTCTCCTGCCAGGGCTTTCCACTTTGGGCAGCAAGGAAGGGCAGGAAAGCAAGGTGCACATCACTTCCTTGGGGACCCTTCCTGCCCAACATGCCCCCTAGGAACCCTCCCCACAGCCTGCAGAAACTTAGTGAAGACAAAACTTCAAGGACATTTTCATAAACAAAGTGTCCCTGTTGCATCCAAAGAGGTGAATCAACCCAGCTGACGTTGGTGTCCCCATCCAAGAAAGGGAAAGGGCTGGCCAAGAACACAGAGCAGCTGGGTATCCTGGATCCACAGACTTGGGTGAGGGAAGAAGAAATGGGAGAAGCCTGTGGTCACACAACACTGCTGACAAGCACTCTGGCTTCATGAGTGTCTGGGCAGAGGACCTCCACCATGAGCTGTGACCCCCTCTAGCTGCAGTAACAAGGGTCTGTCCTCACAAACAATAAGCTGTCCTTTTAAGACCAGACTCAGGACCTGTACCCTGGGGGGAGCTCTCAAAGAGCAGAAGTGAAGCCCAACCCTACAAACATCCCCTAGGAATCCTTCTGCCAAGAAACCCAGGGCCTGGCCTTGGGCAGCAGGACCTTCCACAGGCCTTCCTGAAGTGAGCCCCGTTGTCCCAGCTGTCCCCCAGTGACACCTGCAGTTGATCTCGACAGCTTTTCAGATGCATTTAGTGGACTTGTTCCCACTGACAGCACCCTCACCAGTGTAAGTCCACAGAGCCTTTCAGGGCATATGCCCAAGTGGGGAGAAGCTCTTGGAAGACTCAGCCTCTGGAGGGCTCCTCACTTCCAAGCCCAATCAGGAGTCCCTTAAAATGCTTCTCCCGCACTCCGATGTCTGCCCTGTCAAGCCCTCCGGAATCACCACCCGTCGTGAGCACACCGCAAGGTGAGCAGTCAGCACAGGTCACTGCGTTTTACTTCCTCCCAGGATAGGGCACCTCGAGAGACTGATGCGCCAAGCCCATGATTCAAAGTGACCAGAGAACAGAGAAGCAATGAATGCTCTCAATGCCCCAGATGCAACAGCTGCGGGGGTGGGAGTCCGTCTCTGACCGCCCAACTTTTGCCAAGAGATGAGAATTCGGCAGCACACGCGTTCATTCAAGGATTTACGGAGTGGCCTCCGGGGACGGCCACAGGACGGCACAAACTGTCCTGCGCCGTCCCTGAGGGCATCCACAGGGCAAGAGGCCTGCAGCAAATCTTTCAAGTCCTCAAGAAGCCCCCGACGGCGGCGAGGGTCGTCTGGGCGCCAGTCCTGGCGGCCCCTCGCCCACAGGGTGACTCCGCGCACCGCACCCCTCGGAGGCCAGGCGGAAGGCGCGAGCCGGGAGCGCGCCGCCGCCCGGCTCCCCCCGCCCCCCTGCCGCCGCCCCGCCCCGCCCCGCCCCGGCCGCCGCAACCCGCCCCCCGCGACCCCCGCGCGGCGCCTGCCGGGAGCGCAGTGCGGCCGGTGAGCAGCGCGCAGGCGCCACGCGACGCGGCCCGAGAGGCAGCGCGGCCCGCGCCCCCGCCCTTCGTCCTTCGCCGCCCCCGCGCCGGCCCGCCCGCCCGCCACGGTGGCCCTCGCCCCGGCGCCGGCCCGCCGCTACCGATATCGATGGCGAAGCGCTTGGCGTTCTCCAGGTTGCGGAAGATCTCGTCGGGGGGCAGCGTAATGCTCTTGTCCAGGCTGTCCCCGCTGCTCCCGCCGCCGCTCGCTCCGCACTCCGCCATTTTGAAAGTGCCCGGCCAGCCTCATCAGCCATGGAGATATATGCGCATATATTTGACTGCTAAACGCCCCCGCGCATAGATTATGCTAATGAGGTCCAGGCCACGCCCCGTCTGCCTGGGCCGGAGGGCCAGCAGGGGCCAGTCCTGCCTGGGCCAGGGTCTGAGAGGCCGGCGCGGTCTGCAGAGGGGTGGGCCATTGTCCTCCAGAGGTGGAGCATCTACAGAACATCTGGAATGTTCTTTTTCTTTCCTCAAGATGGCCAGATGTTAACTCCAGTGTTATAAGCCCGCTGAGACCACTTCCAAGAGGCCACCTGGATCGGGTGCTTGCCTGTGTGAGCTTGGCCCTGCAGGTGTTCACGGTGAACGGGTCCACGGTCCGTGAACGTCTCAATGTTTGTGGTCTTTGCTAGGGTGCCCCACCCCTGCATCCAGTTCCTCAGAATGTGGGATCTTAAGTGCTAAAGTCCCACATGAACTGGAAGAGTTGACCCTGACATCAAGGAGCCCCCTGCCAGAGTGGCTCATGCATTCCCACCTGGAGATGGTATACTCTTAAATGGCAATCTTCAGAGAACAGGGAGGCTACCCAGAGGAGGGCACCTTCTGGCAAGGTGGGTTCTGGAAGGAACTAGCTGAGGAAACAGCCCAAATGGAACAGGGATACCTGTGGAGGCAGGGTTTCAGGGTGAGTCACTGGGGGCACCTCAGAGAAGGGTGTTACTCAGAGGCCCTGGTGTGTTGGGAAAGAACCTAGTGTTTGGAGGCAGACAGAGCAGGCCTAAGGTGGCTTCACTTGCCTCTGGTCACGGTGGGATTCAGGCATGCATTCTGGAGGACTCCACGGGGTGGTGGCCTTTTCTCCTACCTTCATGTAGAGCTGCACATTCATTAAACACGCAGAAGGAATAGGGACCTCCCATCCTCTGCCCACCACAGCCCCAGATTGGGCAGGGACCCCGAGAGGCACTGAACTAGCCTGGGAGGTGCCCCATTAGATATTCCCTCCAGAGTGGGTAGGAGTGGAAGGTGGAGAGGGGTAGAAGTGGTCAGTGGGAAGGGCAAGGGCAGGGCCCACATCTGACTTGTCATTCAGAAAATCTGTGGAGACGTTGCTCCTTCCTAGACTGGTGGCTTTTGGTTCTAGGTTCCTGCAGACTCACAACAACATGTGGTGGCCTGCCTAAAAATAGGTGCCCTTCTGAGGCAGAGGATTGCCCCTGTTAGGTTCCTGGCTAGCACTGCGTGGTTCTGCAGTCAGCTGGTTCACAGGGAATCACCTGTGGACTAGCCAAGCCCCTTTTGCTGCAGCAAGAGGTCTACTGTGGTCCTCAGTTTTCTGTCTGTGGACAGAGACCTCTTTGCCCCCAAACCTCACCCTGCAGGGAGCCAGCGAAAGACTGGGGCAGAAACATTGAGTCAACAGTTCTGCAGGTCCCAGTCTCTCTGGCCTGCCCCTCCCCTGCCTCTCTACCTCTCCTCCCTTCCTTCCCTGCACCCCTCCTCCCTCTCTCCCTCCTTCCCTCGGCCAGGACCCAGCCCTTTTTCCTGTGTTCAGAAGCCCGCTGGCAAGTGCTCCTCCCCACTCTGGTTGCATGACAGTAGTGCCCACTCCCGTTCACCGCTGAAGACCTGCCCCCGTGGATGGCAAAGACATATGCGAGGCACAGACAGTGAAGAATCTGATAGATTTTATTAGAAGCTTTCAGAGCAGTCCATGGGTTCTCACGGTACGAAGAGTTTAAATTCTAAGTACAAAATCATCCCACGGTGCACCCACCCACACAAAGGAATCCTTTAAGGATCATAGTGGAGACCCCTCTCCCCAAACAGCCCACTATGAGCCTCCACCAGACATCAAAGCCATGTGGACCTTAGAACCACAGATCTGGTCCAGGCACCCAAGCAGGCTGAGTACTTCCTATGAGGATACACCTGGAGTTCCGCCTTCACAAAAGGCAAGCGTGCCCACGGCACGGCCTGCCTGCAGGGGCCCTGCCCAGCAGCAACAGGCCCTGAAGAAAGTCCTCTACAGGATGGGGCTTCGGCAGGCCCAGCCCCTGACCCTACAAATATCATAGAACCCCGCAAATGGGGACTTCCCAGAAGTCACTTGCTGAAATGCAAACACAGAACAACCCCTTGGGGTCAGACACTTGGCAGAAAATGGGCCCTGATTGTCCTAAAATGACAAGGACATTGCACACAACATTCTCTGAGAATGACCCTCCTGCTGGCCTGCCAGCCTGGGGAGGGAGCCTTCCGGAGAAGGGTGCGTTCCATCCGGGGCCGGACTGCGGCTGGGAAGGTCTTCCCTACACTCTAGAGGAACGGCTCGCCCTCTGGTCCTAGACCGGGCGGCCCTGCAGTCGCCCGGTCACCAGGGCCGCCAGAGGCCGCAGGCGGGTTGGCGCTCGGCGACGGCGGCGGCGGCGGCCGCTGCCTTGACCGAGGAGCGCACGGGCGGGGCCGCGGCGCTGGACGCCTGGGGCTCTTTGGCAGGCGCCGTGGACCCGGCCGGGGGCCGCTGGAAGTGGTAGAGCAGTTTCATCTGCGTGTCGCTGGCGGCGTGCAGCGTCAGGAACTGCACGGCCTCCTGCAGGCACCACGAGTAGCCCTCGCTGTAGTCCTGGTGTAGGCTCTTGGGGCCCGCGGCCGCGGCGAAGGCTGCGGGGATTCAACAGGGAGACAAGGCGGCTTGAGCCGGGCACAGGGGCACAGGGGCGCGGCGGGGCGCAGGGCGCGGGCGCGCGGCTCACCTTTGCTGTGCTTCAGGTAGCTGACGGCCATCTCCAGGATGTCTGCCTTCTCCAGCTTGGAGTTGGGCTGGTGCCGCGCGAACTCCTGTTCCAGCAGCAGTTTCAGCTGCTCGATGCTGCTGTTGATGCGGTCGCGGCGCATCTTCTCCACCACCGGCTTCCGCAGCTGCGGAAGGAGGGGGCGTCAGGCGGGCAGGGCTAGCCGGGACCGCGGGGGACAGGACCGCGCGCCGGGCGGGCTGGCACTTACTCGGTTCTTCTCCTTGGGGCTGAGCAGCTCCACGGCCACAGTGCTGGGGGCCATGCCTGGCGCGGAGCGGGCGAGCGGGCGAGCGGAGCGGAGCGGGCAGAGCCAGGCGTCCCGGGCTGGCGCGGACACGGACCCGCGCGCCGGCCCTATATAGGCGCGGGCGGCGGCCTGGCGCCTGGGGCCCGGGCGCCGCGGCCGTTCCCACACTCGGCGGCCAATGGCGGCGCGGGCCGCACAAAGGCGCCGGCCCATTAGCGCACGCTAAATTGCCTGTGAATTGGCGCGGGCACAATGGGCGCTCCCCGAGGAGCAGGTGGGCCGCGCGGCACAATGTCCGGGCTGTGGGAACGCGCTCGCCCTCATTAGCATCCCGGGGCCTGATGCTGGGAGCCCCGCGCCTCAATATGCTGCCTTTTCCCAGGCCGCGGGGAGGAGGAGGGGGCAGGAAGGAGCGGCCTCCTCCCTCCCGTGTCCTCCCCTTCCCTGACGACTTTCTACTGCTGGCTGGCAAAGGCCACAGGCGCAGATAGGGGAAAGCTTTAGAATTAACAAGAGCAATGGCTTTCAGGGATGGGCACCCTCCCTGACGGGGACCTGCTGCCTATGCAGAAGGGAGACAGAGGGGACCACACTCTCTGGACAGGGGCTTCTGTCACCCTGTCCACAGGCCTAGGGTAAGAGCCAGGCCCATGCTCTTAGGCTCAATCCTTCTGGCCTCTGTTGCCAGCCCCCAGTCTGTCACCTGGGGCTTAGAACTTTCCCAGAGCTGGAGTTGGAGGTTATATCTCCCCTGCCGACTTTGGGCAGCTTCAGGTGGGCCAGGGTATGTGCATACAGCCTGGCACAGGTGGCCCCCAGAAAGTGGTATTTGGGCTGCTGTGGAGCTAGCAGGTGCTCCTCAGGGTCCTCTCCCACCCGGGAGGAGTGGCAGGAGTCAGATGCGGAACCCTGGAGCTCAGGAGGGCATGGCTCCCACCATCTCCAGGAGGTCGACTTTCTGCATGGTTTGTGGGAAGTCCTGTCTCCATTGGCTCTCTGCACACCGGGGGCACTAGGATCGCTTTCCTCAGGCGTTTTGCCAGTGGGCAGGTTGGGGGTGCCAGGTGGCAGACAAGACGATCAGCAGAGCTCCCTGGATCCCCTTAGGATATGCTGGTAACCCTGGTACCTGGCCAGTTGCAGTGGCAGCTTGGGGGCAGCTAATCACAGCCTGGACCCTGCGGGAGGACTCCTGGGAGCACCACCCCTTCCTGCATCAGTTACTGTCCCCTGATTCTCGGTAGCCAGGAGGAGTCCCATTGTCCTGCAGGAACTGAGGGAGGGGTTGGAATCTGGGCCTTCTCCTAGAGGCAGATTGGGACCCAAAGCTGTCCGAGCAGAAGGCAGAGCCCAGCCTGGGAGCCAGGGGTCTGTGTCAGGACACTCTGGCAGAGTTTAATCCAGGAGCTGGGTTCCTGGGATGGATGGCAGCCACATCCGAGTGTGGCTGGGAACTGCAGGCCTTAACGAGGGTCTAGTCACAACCCTCCTCTGCCCTGTCTTGGCAGTGACCTGCACTACATGGCCTGCCCGGTGGGGTCCAGGAGTCCCTCAGCCTGAGGACCATGTGGTTGCTACACATGGTCCAGTCCAGGGTAGCAGAGGAAGGGTTGGCTTCCGGCCAGTGCTGGTGGCCTTCCCACGGGCCAGCTAGTCACCCATCAAGACTCACCTTCCCCCAGACTTCCCATTACACACCTCCCCCTGAGCAGGTGGGGCCCTCCCATGACACTCTGGCCCTTGTTTGAAGTGAAAAAGCAAAGGGCACCTGGCGAGCCCAGGATGGGGTATCATGGCCACATGACTGTGCTTTGGCTTCTGCAGTCCAAGCACTGTCAGCGACTGGCATTGGGGGTGGCCAGGTGGGCCCCACAGGCTTCAAGAGGAACCCAGTGAGGCTCAGTGGGGCCATTTTTGCAACTAAAATGGAGTTCAGGTTAGGTGGCAGCCACATTTGGCATGTCCTGGGTAGGGGCTCCCTAGAGTGGGCTGGGAAGAGGGAGGGCAGGAGGACTTAGTCCCCTGTGCGTCTGTCACCTATGTCCTGCCAGCCCAGGGCCCAGCACAGAGGAGGTGCTCAAACAAGGGCCAGGGGCTTCAGAAACAGTGGAGCAAGGTGAGCCTGGAGCCCAGCCTGCCCTGGCCTGGGCATCCACCAGCTGGAAGTGGGGTGGACCCACCGCCTGGCTGCTGCCTGCAGGGACCCAGGCTGTGGCTGGGATGGGGGAGCGGGGGCATGCAGGCTTGCTCCCCCAGGCTGGAGGGGCTGTTGGCCGGGGTTTGTGTTCTGCTCTGGTTCCCTCCTTGAGCTTGCTCTGTGCCCAAATGAGACGCGTGCCAGGAGATGTGGTCCAGCCCCCACCCACCCCAACTGCCCGCCCACCCGCCGTGGGCCAGGACAGCGGGCTGCCGGAGGTGAGGGTGGTGGGTGGGCCCGGGTGGGGGCTGCCTCCTTCTCCCCTCCTCCTCCCTCCGCTGGACTGGAGCAGCTTTGATCCTATTTTCAGCTGTGGGAAATATGAAATGAATGGTGTCAAGTCCCAGCCGGATGAAAGGCCGGTTCCCTCCCCGAGTGCGGGCCAGATGGCAGCTCGGGCGGCCTCCGAGGCACACGCCTGGCCTTTGTGGGCCGTTTAACACTGTGAATGGGGCCAAAGTGTGGGAAACTGGCTGGGCTCCTGGCTCACACCATCCATGTGAGTAGCTGGGGAGGGGGAGGGCCAAGGCTGCTCCAGGCTGGCGGGCTTTGCCCTGCAGAGCACTGGGCGGGGTGGAGGGCGTTGGGTCCTCTGCTTCATCTGCTCCCAGCAGCTCTGGATGGGAGGTACTTTGAGGAGGGAGGGAGGGAGGGAGTTTGTCCTGCCTGCAACTCCCAGAACCCCCACCCTGGAAAACTCAAAAATTTGAGGGGTTCGGTAGCTGGGGTGGGTCAGGCTGTCTGGAGTTGATGCCCCTGTCACTTAGGGGTGCACTTTACTGTGGACATACATGGGACCTCCTGGCAAGACCTACTAGTCCAGCACAGGCATGCTTGCATCCAGCATTGAGGACCCAAGCCGCCTTGCACAACCCACAAGACAACACCACCCTTTTCCCAGGCTGACTGGGGAGGTGGGGGGAGAGACCCTAGAAAGGCACCCAGAGGCTCTGGAGACCAGGGGAGGACTTCTTGTTGGTGGGAATGTGAAATTATGTAATGCTGTGATAGACAGTTTGGAGTCTCCTCAAAAAGTTACACATAGAATTACCAAATAAAGGATGGGGATATGGCTCAGTTGATAGAGTGCTTGCCTTGCATGCACAAAGCCCTGGGTTCAATCCCAGCAGCACATGTAATCCAGAACTTGCATTTCTGGTTCTGTACCCCAAAGAATTGGAGCTCAAAAAGATATCTTTACACCCATGTTCATAGCAGCATTATTTGCCAAAGCCAGGAGATGAAACAATACAAGTTCCATTGGTGGGTGAACAGATAAAGAAAATGTATTATAGCCATACAGTGGAACATTACACAACCATTAAAAAGAAGGAAACTCTGACACTTGCTACAACATGGTTGGACCTTGAGGACATTCTCCTCAGTGTCCTGTATAATTCCATTTGTGGGAAAGACCTAGAGTCACCAAATTGACAGAAAGTAGAATGGTGGCTGGAGGACTAGAGGGAGATGGGGAGCCAGTGTTTAATGGGGACAGTTTCCACTTGGAAAGATGAAAATGGACATTGGTGATGGTTACGATACATCGCAAGTGTTTTTACAGTGCAGAGCAGCACTTAAACCAGGCACGGAGGTGCACAACTGTCATCCCAGCAACTGGGCAGGCTGATCGGAGGATCACAAGTTCAAGGCTAGCCTCAACAGCTTAGTGAGACCCTGTCTTAAAAAAAAAGAGCGGGTGGGTTCAGTGGTTGAATGCCTTGGGTTCAATTCCCAGTACCAAAAAAGAAAATGAAAAAGAAAGCAACAAAAAAAGATGGGAAAAAGAAGAAGATTGATAGGTTTTATGTTGTGGGTATTTTGCCACAACCAGAAAAAGGAATCAATTTACTTTTATTTGAAGAGCCACCAACTCCCTCCTGCAGCACAGGACCCTGCAGACAGTGCTGGTCTGGGAGAGACCCTGCCACACCCATCCTGCCTTCTGCTCAGAGGCACACTGCCCTGCCCCGCCAGCCTGGACTGTGGTTCTCAGGGACTTGGAGCAGTACGTGGAGTAGGCGGGGCTACTGGGCCTGTGGAAGTGCTGGCCTCCCTGGCCTCTGCTCCTGGATCCCTGCTCCTGGTTTCCAGTGGGGAATGTGAGGAGCAGGCAGACCTAGGAGGGTCAGAAACCGGCTCCAGGCTTCTCTCCTCTGACCCCACAAACCCGAGCTTGGGGACAGTAGGTAGAAACTGCCTGAAAGGGGCGGAAAGCCAAGTTCCTCGGGGGGAGGGGAGGCAGGGGAATGGCTCTTCTCAAGATTGTGGGGACAGTGTCCCCCATGTACAGGGCCACTCCATGGCCTGGTGTCCCTGGAGCTGTTCTGTGCTGTGTGCCCTGCCTGGGTTCTTTGTCAGCACCCAGCTGCTTGCAGCAGGACAGGCCGGAGGCGTGGGCTCTTCCCCAGGTGGACTAGTATCACTCACCCATTCCCAGTGACAAAGGACACCCGGGCACCGGGGGAGCAGCTGTCAGAGCAGGCAGGAGGCATGTGGTAGTGGTGTGCTGAGTCTGCCTGGGCCTAGGACGGGCTCCGGGCAGGAGCTGCATTGGGGAGGGTGTAGGAGTCCCCAGTTGCTGCACATGTGCTAGGCCCACGCACAGAACACAGACCTCTGGCTTCTTGGGCCAGCCTGATGGGGCTGAGGGCTCAGAGGTCAAATGGCTTGCCAAGGCCCTGTGTGCTGCTGGTCAGCCAACCCGATGGCTCCCAGTACAGACTGGCTACCTGCAGGAACGATGCCCTACACAGGCATGCTGGCCCTGAGAGGTGGCTGAGGCCATGCAGGAGGTGGGCTGAGCTGGAACACACAGCACTTGCTCTCTGTCCTTCCTGAGCGGCAGCGGGTGGTGGGAGAGGAGGAGGGTGTGGGGCTAACATGAGGGGTGGTGTTGTCCCAGCCCCCACCCCAGGCACACCCTGGAGTGGGACTGAGCGGAGCTGGGAGCCTGCACTCCAGATGGCGGGTGGCCTGACGGAAGGACAAAGGGTAGCCACAGCGCAAAAGCGGCCAGTGATGCACGCGCT